TATTTCTTGGGATAATAGCAAGATCAACTAGGATCATGTTCACTAACTTTGAATAGGTTATGTGGTTCTGTCCTTTCTTTTTATTTTTAGGATAGTTCATCCCAAGTTCATTTCAGTCTTGTCTTACTTGAGGACAAGTAAGGTTCAAGCTTGGGGTGATTTGATAGTTTCATTTTATTTTCTTTTTTTCATAGTTTATTTTGGCATATTTCACTCATAATTTTTCTAATCATCACGCATATTTTCCTTTTTGTTATTTTATGACTATTTTGGATACTTTCTAGTTTTATGAGCATAACTGCAGATTTCATGAGACTAGCGGAGTGGAAAACCTTTGGGAAGCAATTTGACATGGAGGACAACAAGGATTGTGGTGTTGATAACTAGTGGAGATGATATATAGAGCGGGATAGTAACCAGTGAGCATTGAACAAGGTGGGCTTATGCTTAAAAGAAAATGGTGGAACATTTGTGTATTCGGGATTAAAATGATCAGGCAAGTACACAACCTTTGAATGATTTGGAGAAGACAAATTGGGTTGAAACACCAGGAAGGTCACTATACTCCCACTAGCTTTGACATATACACAAGACTCATCCTCACTTCTAGAGAATCCAAACTCTTTAACTTTCTCGTCAAAGAAAAGATTCCATCTGCGAGAAGCTTGTTTCAATAAATAGATTGATTTCTCAAGCTTAAACACTTTATTGGGGTATTTAGCATCCACAAAATCCTCTAGATGATTCATGTAATCACTTTACCACTGTTGGATTTGATCAAAGAAGCACAGATTGAGGGGATAAAGTAAGAGAATCAGAAAAAAGAGAAAACCAGGGGTCAGATTTCTACATTTTTCGCTGATAGATACGGCTTGTTGACATAGTGTTGCAGAGTGTGGGTTCCCATTTCTGGTGGGGTACGTCAAACTTTGTTAGAAGAAGTGCACAAGTCTAAGTTTTCGATCCATCCAGGCGCAACGAATATGTATAGGAATTTGAGACTTAACTACTAGTGGCCCTGTATGAAAAGGGAGATAGCTTGGTATGTAGAGAGGTGCTTGACTTGTCAGAAAGTTAAGGCCAAACATTAGATACCTCATGACAAGATGCAACCATTGGATATTCCCATGTCGAAATAGGAACAAATTATTATGGATTTCATCACAAAGTTGTCAAGGATGGCACATGGAGTTGATTCGATCAGGGTTATTGTAAACATATTGACCAAGAGTGCTCACTTCATCCCGATTTAGGATAATTCTTTTGCTGAGAAGATAACCGAGATCTACGTCAAGGATGTAGTCAAACGAAATGGTATACCAATTTCTATGGTTTCCGATCGTGATGTTTTATTTCACTTCTAGATTTTGAGGAAGTTCCACAAGGATTTCGGTACTCGGCTACATTTCAGTACTACTTACCACCCTAAGACCGACGGTCAGAGTGATCGAACCATTCAAACTCTAGAGGATATTCTAAGGGCAGGGGTTTTGGAATCCAGTAGGAGTTAGAATACCTACCTTCTCTTAGCTGATTTTTCCGACAACAATAACTATCACGCCAGTATTGGTATGCCTCCCTTCGAGTTGTTCTACGCAAAGAAATGATGGACTTCGATTTGTTGGGACGAGGTGGGAAAGCTGGTAATGAGGAGCACTGAGGTATTTCTTAATACTATGGAGTTGATCAAACGAATGTGTGGTAGATTGCAGACCGTACAGAATAGACAGAAGAGTTATGTTGACCGGATCGTTCAGATCTCGAGTTCTAGGTTGGGGATTTTGTGCTTATGAAGGTGTCACCTTGGAAGGGTTTCACTCGGTTCCAAAAGCAGGGCAAGTTTGGTCCCATATATATTGTTCCATTTTAAGTGGGTGCTCGGGAGGGAAAGGTTGTCTATCGGTTGGATCTGCTAGTGGAGCTTATTCAGGTCCACAACAACTTTCATGTTTCCCAACTGTGGATCTGCTAGTGGAGCTTAGTCCTTGGTTGATGATTGTGTAGTGGTTCCATTGGATGATATCCAAATTGATGATCATCTTAATTATGCGGAGTGACTGATCGCTCTTCTTGATAGAAAGACGAAAACCTTGTGTAACAAGGTTGTGGCTTTGATTAAGGAGCATTGGTAGCACGATAAGGGTTTCGAATGGACTTGGGAACTCGAGGAGGAGATGAGGGAGGATTACCCCAATTTGTTTGTCGTAATGGATTTCAAGGACGAAATCTGAATCAAGTCGGGGAGAATTGTATCACTTTGTTTTCAGGTATAACTTATGTGTTTTGCAATATTGTGGTTTTGGGATTTTTCTCATCACTATGATGTGTTAGGGTTTGTACCACGGTGTGCTGGTAATTTAATTACCATGGGTTGGTAAGAACCTCACTGTGTCGTGGTGGTGGTTGGGGTTCAAAATCGTAGATCTTGGGCCTTGAGTCCTATTTAACAAATGTGATGGATAGGGTTTTATCCACCCTCATCCTTCATCACCTCCAAGTGTAAAGAATCAAACCCTGGCATCCTTTCAAGAATTTTGAGCTTATTTTGGTGTTTTTGTGGCCTTTAAAGGAAGAAGTGAGGTTTTATAGTGCAATAATTTAACAAGCAAGCTTATGTCCACCTCCTTGTGTATATTCTGGACTTTTGTAAGTCCCCAAGTTCTTATATTTTTGTTCATCCTTTTTAGATCTAGGTTTTGCGCTTATTTCTTCATATTGTGTTGGTTTGAATGGATGACTTCAATAAGGTTGGAAGATTTATTGATCCTTGAGTTCCCAAGAATGATATATTCTTCAAATCTGAACTTCTATATAGTTTTGGGTTTCATGCAAGGGGTTTTCCCCCATTTCTTCCATTTTGACTTAGTTTGAAGTATGACATGCAATGGACATTCATGGCCATAAAGGTAGGGTTTTGAAGATCCCTAAGGATGCTAAGAAGCTTTATGAAAAGTATGAATGTTTGTCTTAACGGATTAAGAGCTTGACAAAGAGATGAATATGTCAGCATCCCCACGGTGTGGCAAGGGCCTTGCCATGACATGGTGGGCAAACCCATCATGATCTTGATGAAGCTAGACCACGACGTGGCAAGGGACTTGCCACAATGTGATAATAGGTTTCATCCATGATTCTTTTGTCATAAGGGTTCTAAGGCGCGGTTAGTGGTTGGCTACGACGTGGTGGCCGACCATTGACTTTGACTGTTGATCATTGACTTTTTGACCAGATTGACTTTTAGTTAAATTGTTAATTTTAATTGGTAGACAAATGCTTGGCCTTATGTGGTTCATTAGGTTTTGTGTAGTACCAGCTTCCCAACTTTGTGAGTTGTGATTTAGTATACTCTTATTAGCGAGGTGAGTCTTCTCACTATACTATGCATAATGTTAAATTTTCTTCGGACTCTTGTGTGTATGTTGGGCGGGGCTCGTTATGTATGTTGGGAGGGGCCTGCTGAGTTGGACTCGTTATATATGTTAGTGTGGCCCGTTATGTATGTTGGGCGGGGCCCGTATTGATTATATTGCATCTACCTATATTTAGTGTTGTAAAACTCGCCGAGTTGGCGGATTACTCGTCCGAGTACTCCCTACTAGGCCCCTTACCAACGTGAGTTATAGAATCCGAGTACTCCCCGATCGGCCCCTTACTGAAGCGAGCAGTTTTGTAAAACTCGGACAACACGATGATTAAAATGTATAATATACTTAATGATTTATTTTTTAACATACACACATGTGATTATTACTACATATATATCGTAAATTTTCAGTAATTATTCACGAAGTGAGACCATTGTGTGTTTTTCAGTTTTTTGTATATTCACATGTACTTAATTTTGTTATATATTTCAATAAACTTATAGTTTTAACTTATGATTTTGACATATATAATTTCCTAAAATATTTCTACATGAATTACTTAATCCGAGTACTCCCCGAATACTCCCGAGTACTCGCTACTCGGTAGTCGGCCGAACAAGTACCGAGTAACGAGTTCTACAACCATGCCTATAGTTTTTCCGCACCTTGTGATTTTGGGATTGCTCTTATGTTTTAATAAAATTGTAACTCATGTTTTGGATTTCCTGACTTATGGTGTTATGGGATGGGTTTTAGTACTTTAAAAATGAAAACTTTTCTTACTATATTTGGGATGTTATAGTAACAAGAATGAAGATGGCAGCCATATTAAAGATCAGAAGTTTACAAACTTGATTTTATCAAAGTTTCTCAAACTTTCTAAAATTATTTTTATAAACTTGCTACAAGGTGTTAAAGCAAGTGAGAGCACATGAAGACATTGCAAGATAAAGACACCTTATGACCCTTTAAAAATGGACCTGATATTTTGTGATGGCTCAAAAAAATGTCACTAGTTTATGGCTTGGTTTATGCACACATATGTTTATAACATCCTTATTGGTTTATTTTATGTTGATATTGTGTTATTATTGTTAAATTAGATTTCACATTTAAAAAATAGTTTGAACATAAATAACATCAAAAGAGTTTAGTTTTAATGAAATTATTTTTAACATAATATGGTAAAAATAGTTTTAAAAGTAAAATATGTTTTATGTTAAAACGAGCGAACGGTAAATTTCGCGATTAAATTATAGGGTTTTTGTCATAAAGACCCTACTACCTTTTACAGTTGGTTTTAAAAGCCCATTATTATTTTATTTGGTATTTATAGACCCCCAAATTCGAAATTGGCATGTCACTTTTTCCATTATTTAAATTTGAATTAATTTAGTCGGTTAAACAAATGACGTGCCCTTTGACTTCGGTAGTCAACAGTAAATATTGCCACGTGTGTTATTCCAGACTGTATAATCATCAAAATGTTTAATTTTATTTTCCATGGTTTGTATGTGGTATATAAGAAGAGGAAGGAAGATATCAAACTAAGGTTTTTAACCATCGTAACCACTATTCAGATTACACTACTCTTGTCGAAGATATTATACTCTCTGAGTTTTGTTACACTCTTGCATGGCTGACAACGAAAATGAAGTTGTCTATATGAGAGTTCATGTACACTATAATGGTGTATTTGTGCGACATCCTTCTGGATATGTTGGTGGGAGTCACTTCCTCTTTACTGACGTCGATTGGGCGGGTATTGATGTAAGGGACTATTTTGCTTTTCTTGAAAGAGTTATGGGGGAAGATTTTGAAAACCTTTACTATTGCATACCTAACATTCCTTTATCTAGAGTGATTCCTCCCATTGTAGTGAATTAGTGTGCATTTGACTTGGATTATGCCCAGTTTATAGATATCGGGTATGAGTATGAGGAAATTTCAATTTATGTTGATCGTAATGGGAATGGTTTGGAGGAATGGTGGGATGATGACATGAATCTAGTTGTTAGTGAAGACGAAAGTGGCCTTGAAGACGAGGGTGGAGCTAGAAATGAAGGAAACATTGTCTCTGATGGAACCCATCCCAATGTAGGTCTTGAAGATGAAGTCATTGACCATGACAACACACCCTTGAACAAGACAAGTGGGGATGATTTTCTTAATAAGCTATGTCATTCTAAAGGATATACTGGTGACGATGAAGTTGAAAAAGAAGATGTTGAGATCCATCCATTTTCAACCCTGTTTTGCAATGGAATAGGCAAGTACCTGTTCTAGGGATGAATTTTGAATGTCCAAAGCAACTAAAAAACATGTTATGTAACTATTATGTGGAGAATGGACACCAACTATGTTTCAAGAAGAATGACAGTAAAAGGTTGTTGGTGGTTTGTTGCCAAGGAGCTTGCCCAGTCAGATTATGGTCTACGTAGATGAGTCAGGATGTGTCATTTCAAATCAAGACATTGAAAATTCAACATAATTGTGCTAGAAACTACAAACTAGGTTCTATTGTCACATACTCATGGATAGGATAACATTATACGAAGGAAATTTTGCACAGACAAAAGCTCACTATTAGAAAATTAAGATTGGAGGTCATAAGGAAGTTTGGAATACAAGTAAGTTTAAGTCAATGTAGAAGGGCGAAGGCACATGCAATGAGTCTTATTGAGGGGACCCTAACTGAGCATTATGCAGAATTATGGTCGTCTTATGGGGAGGAAATTAGAAGAATCAATCCAGGTTCAACAGTAAAAAATGATGTCCAACGCATGCCTGATGGTTTGAATTACTTCAGTAAGTTCTATGTGTGTTTTGCTAATATGAAATCTGGTTGGTTAGAAGGGTGTAGAAAGGTGTTGGGGATAGATGGGTGTTTCCTTAAGGGTGTATGCACTGGGGAGTTACTATGTGTTGTGGGCAGAGATGCTAACAACCACATCTTCCCAGTTGCATGGGCAATAGTGTGTGTTGAGAATAAAGGAAATTGGATGTGGTTTTTGGAGTTGCTTAAAGATGATCTTGAACTAGGTATGGGAAATGGCTTCACATTAATGCCTGACCAACACAAGGGTCTTATGGAGACAGTTAAGGTGGTGCTTCCTTGTGCTGAGCATAGATAATGTGACAAACACGTTGTTGCAAACTTTACGAAAAAGTTTGCAGAGGCTATTTTTGAGAACCTTTTTTGGAAGGCTTGTAATGCAAAAACACCACAATCTTTCAATGTGTTCATGAAAGAAATGGAAAAACTAATCCCAGAAGCCCTTAACTATTTGATGGAAAAGGATCCAAAGACTTGGCCAACGACATTTTATGAGGTCGGCAGAGCTTGTGCTGCAGCGGAGAATGGTCTGTCATAGAGCTTTAATGCAGTAGTTGTGGAAGTTAGAAGGAAACCTATTATCACTTTGTTGGAGGAGCTGAGGTTATATATCATGGAGAGGATGTATAACTTGAAACACAAAAAAATGGTCAAAAGAGGTAAGTCCTGCCATCAGGAAGTTGCTAAATGGTTTAAAGATTGAAGCTAGGTTCTGGCAAGTGATCCCAAGTAGATTAAACAAGTTTGAGACTAGAAATGAAGGGCAAGCTTATGATGTGTATCTTGACAACAGAACATGTTCTTGTAGGTTATGGCGACTGAATGGATATAGATGTGCACATTCAGTTGCTAAAATCTAATTTCTTAATAGGGATGTTGAGACTTTTGTCGATCCTATTTTTTGTAGGTCAAATTACAATAAAACATATATGAACAATATATTGCCTATGAATGGTAGTAACATGTGGATAGAGACATCATTTACCCCACCATTACCTCCCCCAAAGAAGAAAGATGCCTGGAAGATCTGTTGTTAAAAGGAAGAGAGATGTATCAGAGAGGATGGGGAAGCACAAGATATCAAAGAAGGGTAAACCCATTGTGTGCAATGCTTGTCATATGCCTGGCCATAACAAGGTGACTTGCAAATCAACAAACAAACCAACTAAGCTTAGAGTACAAAAAAGCAAAGAAAAGAAAGACTAACCAGGTAAATTGTAATGATGTTGTTATTTAAGCAAAGCAATAGTTGACATGTGATATTGTACATTATTCTATAGGTGAAGGAGGTGCACAAAGAGTGAATGGAGTTATAGGTGGTGAAGGTGGTGGACTACATAGAGGTGTAGGTGGTGGAGTGAATGATGTTCCAATGTCATGTGGTTCAGTTAATGGTCGTAAAAAAAAGGTATGTTTTGCACCATGCTTTATACACTTTTAAGTAATATCTTAATTGAAGGGTAATATGGTAATTTTGTGTATTATAGGTTAATTCAAGGGGCGTGGGTGGTGTTGTTAGAACAAGAAAGCCTTCTGAGAGAATTTTGAAGACCAAACTTGTAAAAACAATGTATGGAAAGAATGGTGAAGGCAACTCAACAACAAATCCAATGGATATAGATTAGGGTACCATAGAGATCATGATTGGAATTTGTGTATTTTAAACATGTGTTTTGTTTTAAACCTTTATGTACTAGGTTAAGTTGGTTGCTGCATGGGGAACATTTGTGTCTTTTGAACCTTAAACAATTTCACATGAATGCAACATATGTATTTTGTCATTATAGGTAATTGTTATAAGATTACATGTCATGGTACTTTCTTAGCATTATTCAATTGTCATAATACCTTCCAAACTACCGATCACTTTCAATCCGGCCATTGTGTTGGATCCCTTACGTACATTTTTTATGTGGTCCACATTAACCAAGGGTACCTTTTATGTTGTCTGGTTTGCACATGTGAATTGGAATATGTAAAAGGTAATGCACTGCAAAGTACCAGAAAGATGCTTGTTTCCATTAAATACAAAAGCATGCGGGCACAGAAAATTATGTTAAAATACAGGGGCATTTACATCCCTACAAATACCAACAACTATCCAAACCAACAAAAGCCAGTTGTATTCTATCCCTATCCCCAAATCATGTTTACAAAAAGGGAGAGCATCTAAACCACCAAAAACTACCAAAAACCACCCCCATCACAATACCATCCCTATTCCAACACATTTGATTTCTGCATCAACATCATACCAACAAGAAGCACAAGCACCATCATAGCAATCCTGAACTTTGTCCTCGGGAACTTCAATTCACCACTCAACTATTTGTTATCCTCAACTTCCATGGCAAACTCATCATCTACAATGTCTTTAGCAGCAATGATTTCAGCATTCATGTTCTCTAACATAGCTACCCTTCTCTACAGCCTGCCAGTGTAATTGGTGTCTTTCATAAGTTGCAACTCATACTTGAGATTGTTAAAGGCATGCTTGTAGTGTGGTGTTAGCTCACCATCGATCCACTTGAAGTATTTACACTTCTCAGCTGCCATCTCCACCTACAAAAAATACATACCCAGTTACACAAACCAAAACACCCCCATCACCACTATCAACTGTATCAACAATAGTAAACCCTAATCTCAACATTATCGCACAAGATATCATAACCCATAACTCCAATTTGTAGACAACAAACCCTAAAGAAGAAGATGCTTACCAAAGAGTCAACACAGTTGCGAAATTTGCAAGTTGGATTCTTATCATACATCGACATCCTTTCTACGATGAACTTTGGAGGATAACGACAATTACACAAGTTTTTATCACGACTCCTAGTAGCTACAACAGTGTCGTTCGCAGAGCTTGATCCAGCTAAGTATGACATCAAATATGAAGATGAATCGCTCCTTAAGGGTTCGAGATCACACAAAGATATGTTAAAAACGGGAAACAATCTTGTAGATGTTGTATTCATTTAGGGCATGCATACTAGCTTCTTAATGAAGCTGATTCGTCAGCTGCCAACTGTGAATTTACATGGACAACATTATAACCGGTAGTAGTAGGTCAATTTTTATGTTTGTTGTAAAAGTGACACGTAAATTTCAAAATTGGGGGTCTATAAAGACCAAATAAAATAATAATGGGCTTTTAAAACCAACTGTAAAAGGTAGTAGGGTCTCTATGAAAAAAACCCTAAATTATATAAGTTTAAAATTGAGATTTTATAAAATTATTAAACTCCAAACCATATTTTACAAAAGAAAGTTTTATTGAAAGGTTTATAAATGTTTTTTTATCACTCAAAGGGTAAAACGTAATACTAGTTATTAAATTTAAAATTTGATTGTGTCAATAATAGAATTTTGGATTTTATAAGAACATTGTTAAAATTGTGATCTTAAATAAAAGTATATCATGATTTATTGGATGCATGCAATAATCATGATATAATATGTTTTTTAAACTAGAATTATAAAAACATCAAAGATCCTTTATAAACCTAAAATACATGCAATCCATTTTGAAAGCACTCACATGTCTCTAGATACGCTAGTGGGAAAAAGGATATCTGACCGCTTAGTGTTGTCTTTTGGTGGCCGATGTACATGTATCCGCGAGTTGTATAACCAAGTTATCGGTGGTTACACAAGTTTTTCAAACTGGATGGTTTGATCGAAAATCTTTTGTGATAAATGTCACACCCCCAAACCGGAACGACGGAAACGTTCGAGGGTGGATGACGTCATGTACAATATCACAACAATCGCATAATAGTAAATCAAAGTACAACAACCTTGATATTGATAATGTATAGTTTTACATCTGTGTTCAAATTAGTGTTTACTTGACACCAAAATGTATAGCAAAAACTAAAAGACGTGACTCTATGAAGTTCCGTCTTCTCAAAACCTGTGAATACCTGTTTACTGATTTCCTGATAATACAAGTAGTTTTGAAAAGAGTGTCAACAATTAAGTTGGTGATTTCATAAGCATGTTTATATTTGAAATATGTCATTTGTTCCTTAAAAATGTAAGTGCGTTCTTCCAGAAAATCCTATATTTTTTTGTTGTAAATGTATTGTAGTCTTAATACCCTAAGACCAAAACGTGTAAATGTTGTTGTACTGTGAAATAGTATGATATGGTTTTAATTCACATAAAACCATAAAATGAATATTTCCAAAAGTATACGTTTTCTCTGTATTGAAAAATAGTATACAGTGATTTTACTTGTATGAAACTATGTGAATGTATGTGCCTGGATCTACCAGTTGTACTGTAAAATACTGTAATGTAGTTTTATTATTTAATAAAACTATGTGAAGTTGTTTATGTATTCGTACACTAAGCGTATTGTTCAATCCCAAATTGTGAGTTCTTATAACCATGCTTGATGACCAAAGATGGCATGAATACGATGTTCTTCAGGCGTCGAAATCGGTACGATATTTGTCACCTCAGGCCTGCCGGCCTAACTGTAGCTAACAGTTTAGGTGTGGGATTTTCAATCTCATATAGATCTATACACAAGTGTCATGCTCTCCCTCCAGGAGACCCTGGTTATAATTTCAGGGCTTTCGTTGGTACTTAGATAAGTACTTGAAGTATGTCTCACAAAACTATATTGACGGTTACGTGTAGAATAATGAAAAGCCATTTTGTAATGAATAAACTGTATGTATGTCTCATAAACTATACATATTATAGTTTATAAGTTTGTTTTCCGTATTGTATCCTGAGCATGGTAAAATAGTGTTTATATTCCATAAACTATACCTATTATATTTTAACGTGTATGTTCTGCTGAAATGAAAGAACCTTTGTATTTTTAACAACTTTGGATGTTTATAATCATAAATCTGTGATAAAAGTATGCCATGAAATTTAACGTTTTTATACAAACGGTAATAAAATAAGTTGCGAAATATTGTTTTTGTTTAACGTATTGAAAT